TTTTTACACGTCCTCTGACACAATAGGATGCTTTATACAACATTATGTTACTGCGAAACGCAATTTCCTTTCAGCTGACCACTAAGGAAAACGCTGTGGGCTCATGTTATGCTTTCGTTTTCCAAATGATCGGAGGGAAAAATTTGGTGAACTTTTGATCTTCGCTTGCAATTTAGGGAAAGAGAGTTACCTAGGACTAAAGTTAGTTACAGAATCTTTAAAACAAGCTTATCTTTACTCAATCATTTTACAAGGAGCGTTTTTACGAAGACGTTTGGACATGTCCCCCGTTTCGGGGGTTGAGAAACACGCGTACGACACAACGTGATATTTTGGGTAGAAGATCAAAGAGAGGCGTATATTTGCTGAATACTGAAAGATGTCTTCGCCTGTGGTTTGTGCGTTTCTTTTCAGGTGGATTCTCCCACTTGTTTTGCTTGGAGGTGGGTACTAAATTTTGAACGATTGTTTCATAACAGCAAGCTATCCCATTTCGGTATCACGACATTTATTACACAAGGACCTTTTAAACTGAAAATTTTGGGGGATTTCTTTAACATATTTGGCTAAGTTAAGTTTCATTTTGCCTATCTTTGTTAAGTATTGGATATTTTTCAGTACTTCGAGCTTCAACTTCTTCTATGTACGTAAACGGTGGAGAAATAATTATAGCAAAAGTTTCCTGCTAACCCGGCGAAGATCGATCTCCCAGATCGAACCTGTCCAGACGAATAAGAATTTAATTCAAATGTCATCAAACCAGCGGACTGTGAAAGTCGCTTACTGAGCACATTCGTTTTCTTTCTGAAGAGTAAATGCATTAGTTGTATAATCGAAACTGTGCCTCTTTCAATTTCAAGTATCTAAAGCTCTTAATTGCTTTATTACCACAAGTATTTTGGTGGTGACGTAATCTGTTGAAGTTGAACCAGTATCAAAATTACCCATTTTACAAATCTATACATTGCATCATAGCCATCAACAGGCATTGAAAATCGATATAAATCAATATCAGTTGATCCATTGTTTTCTGGTTATCAAATTTCTTATGTTGCGAACGCTGTAAAAGGCGGAATTATCACGCAGAGACATCAATCGATTAGTGCGTGTTTAAAATTTTCTTTATTGCAGTAACAAGAAGTTAATCAAATGTTTTCTCTTGTATTTATTTCATTTACATAAATTGATCAATAAACCTTTTGTTGTCACATGTTGTTGATGCATAGAATCATCCAAGGTCTTGGATCTGTAATATTATTCCTTCTTTGTTCGTTTTTAGCTTGTTGTTTCAGGTTTAATGGATTCTCTGTTATCTACTTATGCTGCCTGTTAGCAGTTCCTCTTCTTCCCAATCCATCACGAGGTTTGAAATATCTCTTGCTTTATTTCCTATGAATTGAATAATTTTTTTTTTCTATCCACAGTATGTGAAATTTTAAACAAACTCTAAGCTAACTCATAATTTTTATTTGAACAGCTTTAGGCCCCACAGGAAATTTTCAGAAGACCCTTCTTGGCCTATCAGTGTTTGCCTTGATGGCACAGATCGCATTCCAGATAGTCTTAGCAGCATTACCACCATATGGACATTTCTTTCCAAACTGTAAGTACAAGGGGAACTGTGTGAGTTCTCTTTGCTTTTTTCAATCCCTTAACCCTGAATACCATAACATCAGTATGCATATTCTTTATACTGTTCTCTATACATTTCCTATGGTTTTGATGAGGAAGATTTGTTCAATAAACATGAGCTTCTTGAGTGGATGGTCATTTCCTGTATTCTCATAACCTTTATGTTTGATTCAGTAATGATAATGTATGGAGAAGTAAGATGTTAGTCACTCTCAGTGGTCAAAGGTTTAACCCTTAGTAGTGACCAATACAGAATTTCTCCTTGCAATATCAATAACTTTTCAAGCAAAAATGTGATGTGGAGCAAGAAAAATAACAACTACAGGATGTTGTTTATTAATATCATCAACCTCTTAGAGGTAAAGAACAGAAAGAGTATGGCAGATAATGAAGAGAATTGAGAAATCTTGATGCAAAATATTTAATTTGATTTTTTTTCTGTCACATATATCATTAGATTTAATTGTTTTTCAATATAATTTGGATAGTATACTAATAGCATATGGATTCAACTTTATCTATATTTCTGGGTTGAAATATTATGCAATAAATCAATTACTGTTATTTTCAATGTAGGTTCTAGGTATGAGCAACTTACCAGGCAAATTGGACTCAGTAGGTAAAACATTTGCTCTTTGTCATCTGACTTTTCTCCCATACGTCTTTTCAATTTGAATTTGTTGTTACACCAGCCTGTAGCTCTTTTAAAAGTGGAACTCAGCTAGTGTTTTCATGTACT